ACTACATTTTATTTATGCATGTTTACAAAATTTTTTGTTTGTTAACATACATTCTATTCAACTTAATAATCTAACAATTATTGAGTTAAGTCAATATATTGGAACACATACTGGAGCACTGGAACAACAGCAATAGATTACCTTCACAAAGTGACAAAAAATATATATAGATTTAAATCTAGTTGTTATATCTTTTATAAAGATAGCTAATATTACTAATATTACTATTATTTAATTTATTTGATACACATGGTTGAATTCCATATATAATTTGAAGTCCATAATTAATACATTATGGATTCAAATTTTACTTAGAAAATGCAAACATTATAATTTATTTCTTTATGCATGTAAATTTATTCATGTAATTCCATGCACAGAAAGCTAGAACTTCTTTAAGTAAGTTTCACAAAACTTTTTTACATATTTTCTAGCAGTTTCTTGAGAGAACAAACATTTTCAGCCATGTTTAATGGCCTTCTTCAGGTTCTATAGCATTGTCAGTTAACAAAAATTCAAAATCTGTTATTGTTTACAAAAAGTTTCCTATTTCCTCTGATGTCATTGTTTAAACAGGAGATTAAAAGACAGACAAAATTGAAAAAATTAACAAAATAGATGTGAGGATGGATATCAAAATAAGCGACTATTGCTACAAGAATAAAATAAGATGATTAAATAAGTAAAAAAACAATTATCTCAATTTATCTACTTATTTAATCTTCTTATCTTATTCTTGTAGCAATAGTCACTTATTTTGATATCCATCCTCACATCTACATTCATTCATTCATTCATTCATTTTTATTTACTATGTACTGTCAAGTACATTCCTGGTCCTGCATGGAGCATTACCAGGAGATAAACAATACAAATACATTACAATATATATTCGTAGAGAAAATTAAATAATATTAAGTTGTAGTAATGGTAAATAAAAAATAAAAATAAATAGATAAAATTGTTGAGGGACATTGATAGGACGATCACAATTTAACTACACCACACTCTCTTCAACCTTAAATGACCAGTAAAATATTTTAAAATACTACAAACATTTTCAACCGTTATTTCTGGTCTTCTTCAGGCAGAAAGTTCCGAGATTTGAATATCCGTTGTGCTTGAAAAAATTTAAATTATTCTTAGAACGTATGAACCGACGTGTATAGACATTCATACTGTGTGTGTGTACTATGCATAGCTTATACAAATGAAATAATATATTTTTTACCACACACATATAAAAAAACCTTGGAGATCCGGATTAAATAGGGTCTTTCCGTTTATAGTAGAGCTTCCAAGCGTTGGAAATATTAATAGCATCTTTGGAATTGATGCAGTTATTATGTAGCCCAGCTTTGTATATTTCGAGAGTTTCCAGCGAATGTATATGTTCTCTTTGGCTTGATATATTAATTATTTGGGTGTTATGCAAGTCCGCTCTTATGCCCAGGGTCGAAGCATAAGTACACAAGGCAGTGGTGCCCCTGTTATGTTCAATGTCATATCTGTGTTCCCTTAGATGCTTATCTAGAGAACGTATCATAGAGACAATATATACACAATTTAACTATTAACATTTACATAGATATAAAGTTGTTATAAATTTTCATGATTAATATATATNGCATGAACACACGTGTATAGACATTCATACTGTGTGTGTGTACTATGCATAGCTTATACAAATGAAATAATATATTTTTTACCACACACATATAAAAAAACCTTGGAGATCCGGATTAAATAGGGTCTTTCCGTTTATAGTAGAGCTTCCAAGCGTTGGAAATATTAATAGCATCTTTGGAATTGATGCAGTTATTATGTAGCCCAGCTTTGTATATTTCGAGAGTTTCCAGCGAATGTATATGTTCTCTTTGGCTTGATATATTAATTATTTGGGTGTTATGCAAGTCCGCTCTTATGCCCAGGGTCGAAGCATAAGTACACAAGGCAGTGGTGCCCCTGTTATGTTCAATGTCATATCTGTGTTCCCTTAGATGCTTATCTAGAGAACGTATCATAGAGACAATATATACACAATTTAACTATTAACATTTACATAGATATAAAGTTGTTATAAATTTTCATGATTAATATATATTTAATTAATAAATATCTTGGTGATTGAGTACTTATAGATTAAGAAAATGAACAGGCTCACATGTGGGTATTTTGTTAATTTTTTCAATTTTATCTGTCTTTTAATCTCCCGTTTGAACAATGACATCAGAGGAAATAAGAAACTTTTTGTAAACAATAACATCTTTTGAATTTTTGTTAACTGACAATGCTATAGAACCTGAAGAAGGCCATTAAACATGGCCAAAAACATTTGTTCTCTCAAGAAACTGCTAGAAAATGTGTAAAAAGGTTTTGTGAAACTTATTTAAAGAAGTTCTAGCTTTCTGTGCATAGAATTATTTNTAGAGACAATATATACACAATTTAACTATTAACATTTACATAGATATAAAGTTGTTATAAATTTTCATGATTAATATATATTTAATTAATAAATATCTTGGTGATTGAGTACTTATAGATTAAGAAAATGAACAGGCTCACATGTGGGTATTTTGTTAATTTTTTCAATTTTATCTGTCTTTTAATCTCCCGTTTGAACAATGACATCAGAGGAAATAAGAAACTTTTTGTAAACAATAACATCTTTTGAATTTTTGTTAACTGACAATGCTATAGAACCTGAAGAAGGCCATTAAACATGGCCAAAAACATTTGTTCTCTCAAGAAACTGCTAGAAAATGTGTAAAAAGGTTTTGTGAAACTTATTTATTAATATAATTATTTTAAAATTTTCCAGAAAAATTATTTATTTTTTGACATTCAGTAATTTAATTTCATAAATGATCTTTAATCAAATAGTTAATTCAATATGAATTTATGTATTTCAAATAAATTTAAGAATTACAAATTGAATATACAGATTATAATATAGAAAATATTGCATAAAGAAATTAAATATTTAAAAATTCCATTTTATTTGCTGTATTTTATTTTGTATCTATTGTTATTTAAGCATAATGTAAGTTATATAAATAATTATTCTAGTATCTATTCTATTTCAGTTAACTAAAATCTTCTTACGTGAATACTGGAAAACATATAAATTAAAACTCCAAAACCTTTAAACGTCCAGTAGTACAATTTAATAATAAACAAACGTTTTCGACCAAAAGTATGGTCAAAAACGTTTGTTTATTATTAAATTCAGTACTACTGGACGTTTAAAGGTTTTGGAGTTTTAATTTATTTCAGTTAATATTGATTTTTAAAAAACATGTTTTCCTAATGCAAAACAAATATATACATATATATTTCTTTTTGTAAGAAAAGCATTTAAAATTTTTATAGATAATTAATAACATAATACTTATATTATCTTCTTAACTCACCTGAGAAAATCTAACACAAAATAAGTAATAAAAGTATATAAATTATATGCATTTATAATCTTAATGTATATTCTTATTCTCAACAAAGTAAAATCAACAAGCAGAATAATAGTAATTAGAGTCCAAATTAACCAAGACTCTGCATTATCTGAGAAAAAATGAGGAAGCATACTTTGTCAATGAAGACAAGCAAACACACTATGGTATCATCAAATGTTCATTGAACAAATGTTGGCTAAATAATGCATGATACTCAAAAGAGTCTCTAGAAGTTTAAATAAAATTTACTGTGGTGACTTCTCACAACAATACAAATTTAAAAAAAAGATTTTAAAATTTTAATCTAGATTTACATTTATTTAATAAATATAGTTGTAAATAAAATAAAAACTATCTTATTGTATAATTTAAATCATTATATTCAATAAGTATATTTAACCTAAAAATAAAGTACATTGTACATGTTAAAGCATCCAAATCAAATTTATTTCATAATTTACCAAATATTCTGTGTTCTGAGTTTATGATTATCTGAGGTACCCTAGTCCATATTACCCTAGATAATCAGACCTCTACTATATATTCATTTATATTTTTATTTTCTATTTTTTCCTTCAGGATGACATTGTATTAATATATCAACTAAATTTTAAATAAATTAAAAACAGATATAGATAATATCTGTTTTTAATTTTGAATTTCAACTTGCTTTTTTCTAAAAATTATTAATAATATAATAAAACTAATCAAGCTATTTTATATTCAATTATAAAATCTCAAAATAAAATTCAAAATCTTATATAAATTTATATTTATTACATATTATTATTTAAAATTATCACTTTTGTATTATATCAGTTTCTTAAAAACTAAAAATAATTCTATATTTAAATTAATTTATTTATTTTTTTCATGAACTATTCCTTTATTTTTGTTATTAGCTTTTTTCATTGACTCAATAGACGTTTTTGATAGCTCAATTTATAAAATAAAAACATTTTCATAAAAAATTTATACAAAGATAAAACTCAGTGGGATCCTTGTTAATAAATTATACTTATATATTATGAATATGCAATTAAAATTATTTTTCATTAATTATATTTGCATAAATTAAACATTCTCTGAAAAATACAAGTCTAAGATTACATTAAATTTAACTTAAAGTATGCTAAATTAAAAATACCATTATAATTTAAACATTATAAAGGTATTAATTATTATTATAAACATTTTCATTATTTTAATTTTGTTTCTATTAATGCCTGTTCTAATATATATCTTTATATAAAATTTCTTTTTATTAACCCATAAAATATCAAAAATCATTTTATAAAATTTTGAATACAATTTTTAGAACTATGTTAATGTTTATCTTTCACATCTAATTAAAATCTCTTTTTTTATATAATTTTGAACATAAATAAATGTAATCATGCAGTCCAGCATCTTAATGATATTTTACATCTTCAATGATTACCTGCTAATCATAATGAAAATTTTACATAATCTTAATGAAAATATCAAAACTTAAGAACACAACATTAGCTAAAAACACTAAATATTTGCTAAACTTGAACATACCTTTCGAACTTTTCCATTTATTCTTGATTTTTGTTCACATATACTTTCACCATCTGCACTTTTTATACTGGCTTTTTCCTTTGTATCTCTTTCTTCCATTCCCTTCTCTTGACCAACAAATAGTTCATAAGATTTACAAGAAAAATCTGATGGACTTTTGACAACATGTTCTCCACGTTTTGCTGCTTCTGCTTCTTCAGCCTAAATAATTACAAAAATATTTAAGTATTCAATAAAGTATTAATCTATTTTTAAGTATAAAATTTCAAACAATTATAATCATATAAATTAAGTGGAATTTAAGATTGATTATAATATAATATATCATATAGTTCATATTTTTTTCAGAGATAGGTATAGTTAGGTTGATTTAAATAATCCAACTATCTAGTTATAGTCTAAATTGCTTAATATTGGATTAATTAATTGGCCTCATAGTAGCACAATAAGAATCCAGCTTTAAAATTTGATTAGAGAAGGTTTTTTTATATTAAATATGTGCAGAGTAATAAAATACTGTATTTATGCATGTATAAGCCACACCCTGTTTCTGAAACAATATACAAGTATCCCTTGTACAGCATGGTAGTTACATTCCAAAAAGATGTGTAACACTGCACTTTTTTGGAATGTAACTATAAGAAACTATCACTATATGTTTCTTAAACTTATGAACTGTGTTACACACTGTGCTATAAGAAACAAAGGACTAATGCAAAACATAGGGTTACATTCCAGAAGTTAGAAAAAGTATATTCTTCTTTCTTGTTACTAAGAGAAATGTGTTTATTAAAGCAATCAATAATTTATTTCCAATCAATAATTAATTAACAATCACAATTAAAAGTACTGTATTATGTGTCAATATTAATTTTAGTAAAACAGGGGCATTTTCTTCTTACAAAGTATTGTCATCTCAGCTTTTTTTATTGATTTTGATCAGATATATCAGCAGTATTTTCATATTTTTTATTTTTATCATCAAAAATTTTTTATGGATGACGAAATAAAAATATGTTATTAATCAAAAATTTGTTCCAGTAGGTTGCATTTGTTCAGTTGTTAGCAAGTAAAACCTATAGTTAAAAAAGGTTTAATAACAGTTATTTAAAAATGTTTAAATAAACTTTACTAAATATGAAAATTAATCTACAAAAAGAAAACACAGCAACAGTCTTAAGGGCTAAAGTCTAAAAGCAATGACAGTCGTATGGCACCTAGTTGATAGGAAAGTTAGGACAAGGAAGAAAAAAATTGCACTATCAGTTTTCATTAAAGTAAGCCTGACAAAAAGCACATTAATATAGCTGTATGCCATATTATATTTTAAGTTTAGTTCATAGTCTTTAGCATATTTCCTTTGTTCTTCATAGTTTCCACTTTCCAGTACCTTCTGATTTTCTTAATTACTCTTTCCCTTTGGAAGTGAGGCCCACTTCCTGAAATTGTCAAACAATGAATGTGAAGTTTCTTGAGGGCACACATGGGGAGAAAGAGTCACTTTTTGGCTGGTCCTTGAAGTGAGAGGACAAACAGGAGAATAGGGAGAGTTCTTGAGTACCCAAAAGATGGGTGAAGCCTATTTGGAGGAAGAAAAACTCCTAAACTTCTTGAACTAATGTTAGTATTGAAATTGGTGTCTCAACATGACGAGTTTTGGGCTCAGATGGACACATAATGACTTGGACTAGAAATTTATAAAAACCATCTTGGACTAAGGAAATGTGAACAGANTTGTAGAATAAAAATTATAAAATAGAATCATTCAATGCAAATCTGGTACCATTAGTTTGGCAGAATCTGCATATAGTGGGCCTAGTGTAAGTTTAATTCATGTTGCAAAAATATTAGTGCAGTTCTTTATTAATCTTTAATTAAAGTTATTAAAATCATCGTCTCAACATGACGAGTTTTGGGCTCAGATGGACACATAATGACTTGGACTAGAAATTTATAAAAACCATCTTGGACTAAGGAAATGTGAACAGAAGTGTGAATTGTGCCCAAAGAAGTTTCCACGTGGTCCCTCATGACAGCAGAAAGACATTCATACAATCTGAGTTCTTTAGTCTATTCTGTCCACCATCTTTGATACTTCTTGCCCCTATCATCTGTTTTCCACTTTGTTTTAGTGTAAGTTAGTATTAAGAATTAGTTATAAGAAAATTTTTGGGTAATACATAATCATGAGTTTTTTGTACACATCACAATATTTTGTAATTATCCAGTTGATGACTGTGTTTTGGGTTACTGCTGGAGTATATCCTAGAGTTGGCATTCGTAACTGATCTTATACTTGGTAATATCATACAAAATAAATTGCATTTTTAACATTTACTGTGCATATTTCCTTTTTTTTTTTTCTTTAGGTGTTTACCTTAGTTGGCTAGCAAAAACTCTTTTATATCTCATAATAATTTGAAAACTTCAATATTCTAAAATCCATGGGCAAATTTGAGACAACATGCATGCTTACTTAAATAAATAAAAAAAAATAAAAAAATGAAGGTTACATTTAAAAATTGTGAAATTTTGTACAGAGGATTTCACAAACCATGTTAGAGTAAAACAGGAAGTCATGCTGTATGAGGAGATATAACCAATTTTCAAACCGTGTTAGAGCAAAACCATGTTGTATATTTTTAGAACTATGTTAATGTTTATCTTTCACATCTAATTAAAATCTCTTTTTTTATATAATTTTGAACATAAATAAATGTAATCATGCAGTCCAGCATCTTAATGATATTTTACATCTTCAATGATTACCTGCTAATCATAATGAAAATTTTACATAATCTTAATGAAAATATCAAAANAAATAGTTTATAATCTTACAAGTTGAAGAGTTTATGAATACATTATTATGAATTCTGATATAACATTTAAATTCTTTACATAAATATTTCTTCAATGTTACATATTGAAAAAATATATAAATCATTATTTATATTTCATTAAAATTTTTTAAAATCACTTACCAACTGATATAAATTTTCCCAAAAATCTTGTGTCATTAGCCTAAAAGCACCAAGAAGTGCCCAACCAAAATTATCAAAACTCGTGTAACCATAATTGGGATTAGTTCCATACCCCTGAATACAAGTATAGTTTTCACTGCACACTCTAAAATAAAAGAAAAAGATATTTTGAATTACATTATTATTATTATTATTTAGTTATTAATAAATAATAAAATAATTAAATATTAAATATCTTAATTCCATTTAATTTTACAACAATATCTTTCTACTTTATCATAAATACTATAGTTTTCCATATTGCTTTCATGCTTGTTTTTATGAACTAAGACTGTTTTTTATTGTTAAAATAGTTTTAAAATACATAAATCATTTTAGTAAAAGAAAAAAATGAAATAGACTAAATTATTTTACAAAAGTAAATAAAATGAGAATTATTGTAATTTGTTAATATGTATAAGCCATAAATTTTATTTAACAGGAATGTTTTCTAACTTCCAATTCAATATCAGCTAAATTCTGAAAACAGTTTCTAAATTAAATGAATTAAAAAATCAGATCTGATTAATAAAATAGAGAAATCAGATTAGATCCAGTGGTAGATTTCCCACTAGGACCAGGACTGGGATACAAAAATTCAAAATAATAAAATAATTTTTTCATTATTTTATTATGTAGAAACAATTCATAAAGGAATTAGTACAAATTAAAAAGTTAAGTAAGAACAAAATAAGACATATCAGTTGAGTAGTATTAATAAATGAATATATTTTGCATGAACAAACATAGTACTAATGATGAATTTCAAACACAACCAGATGCTTTTACATACTACTTCTAGCACTGTTCTTTAATAATTGTTAGATAAACAAAAGAAAACAAACATTTTCGGCCTTGGTGGTCCTCAGGTTACAAAAATTTTTTTTACACTTTTAAATCATCTTGTATGTTTGATAAAGGAATTTTTTTACCAAAGAACTTTTTCACATAAATTCAAATAAACTTAAACAATTAAAATGTGGAGCATTCTACACTTCAATAACTTTATATAAATTAAAATAAGAATTTAAAAAAATGCAAGCTCATTTAAAAGTGTGAAAAATTTTTTGTAACCTTAAGAGGGCCACTAAAGTGGCCAAAAATGTTTCATTTACCTAACATTTATTAAACATCAGTGCTGGAAGTAGTTTGCAAAAGCATCTGGGTGTGTTTGTTGAACTGTTCCAGCCTTTGACAGTTATGATAGGTTTTTAATAGCAAAACCTTTTTCCCTTTCAATATTTAAAAATCTGTAAAAATACAATTATTGTAGAATAAAAATTATAAAATAGAATCATTCAATGCAAATCTGGTACCATTAGTTTGGCAGAATCTGCATATAGTGGGCCTAGTGTAAGTTTAATTCATGTTGCAAAAATATTAGTGCAGTTCTTTATTAATCTTTAATTAATTTTATTAAAATCATCAATACAGCCATGAATCACAAACAATCTATCATTAGCATCTACTCCTCTACATCTCATAAAATAACAAAACTTTGTTAACAGAAAAATGATTGTCCAAACAAAAACATGAAGATAGAATCCTCTAGTTCTCATCTCGCAATTTTTAATCTCCTTGACATAATTATTTTTTAGAAAGCAAAGAGAACACAAATTTAGCAAAACACAACAACAAAAACACATACTATTTTCCATGATTTGTTTGAAAACTAAATGAAAAAGCATTTAAAATTCAAGAAAAATTTACTATACTAATATACTGCAAATATGTATTAAAAAAACTGGATATTTTCCAAAGTAAGTTTATGAGGAAACAATTTAATAATATGCCTGAGCAGGATGAGATTAAGAAATCTATCAGGAAAAATAATCTAAAATATTCCTCTGACCATTTGTGTTCTTGTGATAAGATAAGAAAATAAATCAGAAAATCTAGTTATTAAATAATACCATGAATATTTGATCCATTTACTTGGAATCTATCAATATAAAAAATTCAAGAACTAATTGAATTTAAAATATAAGAAAGAATGCATATGTAAATTGAAAACAAAATGAAATGACTGATTTATGGAGGTTTAAAACAACTAAATTACTTTATCCAACATTCAAACCTGAATATTGGATCCTGAACTGAAAAAAATTCTGGCCACATTTCTGTTTTGCAATATCTTGTATAATTGAAAATGTTTTTGTCCAGTGAATAAAATGTTAAAAAGGAAAGAAACAGATCTGACTTATGTTCAACTGAAGGCATTAGAACTAAATTGGTATTAAACTGTACATTGAAAATTTAGCTAAAAGCTAGAGTACTAAATATAGGGATTCTATTGTATGAAAATAAATGTAAAGTATGTTATTATTTTAAATTTTGTTTGAAAGGTAATTAGAAAAAGATAAACTATTAAAAAAATGTTCTTTAGGTAATCATTTCTAAGGAAAGGTTAAGAAACACTAATATAAAAAAAAAGACATCAGAAAATAGCAAATAATAGTCATATAATAATTTAAAATCAGCAGTCACTTCATATAAATACTTAAAAATGACAGAATAGAAAAATATTTAGCATATAAAGCATTTATTAATATTTCTAATTTATATATATTTTCACTAATTAGAATAATGACTAAAGATTGTTATATTTTGTTTGTCTAAACAATCTTCTGTTTCACTTATTTTGTTTACAAACTATTTGTAAAAACTAATAGTAAATAGTTTATAATCTTACAAGTTGAAGAGTTTATGAATACATTATTATGAATTCTGATATAACATTTAAATTCTTTACATAAATATTTCTTCAATGTTACATATTGAAAAAATATATAAATCATTATTTATATTTCATTAAAATTTTTTAAAATCACTTACCAACTGATATAAATTTTCCCAAAAATCTTGTGTCATTAGCCTAAAAGCACCAAGAAGTGCCCAACCAAAATTATCAAAACTCGTGTAACCATAATTGGGATTAGTTCCATACCCCTGAATACAAGTATAGTTTTCACTGCACACTCTAAAATAAAAGAAAAAGATATTTTGAATTACATTATTATTATTATTATTTAGTTATTAATAAATAATAAAATAATTAAATATTAAATATCTTAATTCCATTTAATTTTACAACAATATCTTTCTACTTTATCATAAATACTATAGTTTTCCATATTGCTTTCATGCTTGTTTTTATGAACTAAGACTGTTTTTTATTGTTAAAATAGTTTTAAAATACATAAATCATTTTAGTAAAAGAAAAAAATGAAATAGACTAAATTATTTTACAAAAGTAAATAAAATGAGAATTATTGTAATTTGTTAATATGTATAAGCCATAAATTTTATTTAACAGGAATGTTTTCTAACTTCCAATTCAATATCAGCTAAATTCTGAAAACAGTTTCTAAATTAAATGAATTAAAATTAAAATTTTAATTAGAATTTAAAATAAAATTTAATTAAAACCTGTTTTCAGAATGCATCTGATATTGAACCTGGATGTTTAAAAATGTACCTGTTACATTATGACTTCTTTCATTTATTTTATTTATTTGTTTTTTTTTTTTGCTTTTGTTTTGAATGAATGAAGTATTATAATCTCTGAATAGAAACTATTTTAATAAACACAACTTAAATGCATAAAATTACCATATAAAAAAGTATTTTAAAGAATAACTATAAAATCATAAAAACAAAATATTAATTAAAAATGAACAATTTCCTTAGAAACATTGAAAACTTATTATTTATCAAGAAAATAAGTATTATTACAAAAAGAAAAAAAATTATAGTAAATACCATATTTATTTTAATAAACTGCATGCATCTATGTTTTTTTCATCTTGAAGCTGCACTGTTTATCAGCATGCACTTAGAATTAGAGGATGACTATTATTTCTATTCTTTGAGAATTGGGTATGACTATTATTTCAGAGTGACTATTAATGGAATAAATCCAGTAACTTTTTTCACTTTATTATTACTCAAACAACAATACAGAGTCTTGATCTCTGCGCTGAGCATATGCAAGTCTTCTTGTAAAAGCGCAGATGCCTTTCACAAGTTTGATTCCCACTAATTTTACAAACCTGAAGAAGACTGGAGTACGGTCAAAAACGTTTGTTTTTCTATTAAATGTGTCAATAATGGACTTTTAAGGTTTACAAGAGTTAATTATTTGCAATCCAATACTTATGTAGGAAGCTATTTAAGTGCAAGTCTTCTTGTACAAGTTGGATGCAACATTATATTTTAAAGTTCTGTTCTATTTTTAAATATTGTTCTTTTTTGTATCCTAGTTATAAAACCTGATGATGTCCATTGAATATGGAAGAAAACATTTATTTTCATTACAATAATTCAATTTTTGCTGAAGTTCAAAATTTACAAATATAAACCTGCTTTGGGTTTGAAATTATAATTTGGGAATTTCGAATTGTATAATTTCAAACCTGAAGCAGTTTATAAAATAAACTAAAACATTTGTTATACAAACTCTTCATGTTGGAAAATTATGTAGTGTTGATTTTCTTACCAATTTTTACTGGTTTTGGGTGTCTGTGTTTGTTTATTTGCATATTAGGCCAGTATTTCTAGCAGTGGCTTTAATGAAACAGTCATCAAAATAACAGAAAAGAATATTTATAACTTTATATATCAAGTTTTAATATTTTAATTTATTTATATTCATCTTACTTCAATACCAATCAGTATTATCAATTACACTATAAATTTATAAAAAGTATGGAATTTAACCCATGTAAATATGGAAAATGGAAAAATATAAGTAATTTAACTAATGTTGGAAAAACTACAGTAATCTTTTTCTTTGTTATTATTGGGAAATGAGATACTTAAATTCAATAACACAGTGAATACATTTGTTTGCTCTTTGCACCAAGCTTAGCACATTTTCATGGCCATTGTAGCCAACGTGTTAGGCAATCTTCTAAGAAATTCTACACTGACATAAAAAGAAAATGTGCATAGAAGCATGATTTCAGACACATTAAATTTGAAAAAATGTATAAATAATTAATCTCTTTAAACACTTCATATTATCTATCTTAATATAGTAATTTCGAAAGCCAAGTGAATAAGAGACTAGGCACTAGGCACAAAAATTATACAATGTAGATTCAAGCCATTGCAATTTTAATTTGTAATTTAGTTTAATCATGATTTTCATCTTGAATCATTAAAAATATATTAAAATACACAATATTCAAATTTTACAAAAACTGGAAAAATATTTTAGCATAGAAATCTATAATTATGACTTCTTAAAGAATATAAATAAAACTCATGTTAAATAAATAAATAAAATAAAAAATATTTAGCATTAAAGAACTAAACTTCTTATTTGAAGACTGATTTTGTGTGGTTATATTACTTAATTTAAAAGTAACAAATTCACATGCAAAAATATTGCTAATTTTTGTAAAATTTGAAAACTGTATACTTTAAAATATTTTTTATTTATAATTTCAAACTATGTAATCAAGCTAGTATTTTCTCTTATATACTTTGTTTGTTGTTATTAATTTTTGTAGTTTTGTATTTTTTTTGCCTTTAATCATTTTGTGTTCAATATATATCATTAATCTTATGTTACATGTAAAAAAATTTTATGTCACAGCTTTCAAATGTTCTAATTTTCAAATTTATTGTAATTGTAATCCTATTTCTTTTGTATTTATAAAGATGTTATATAATTATAATGTATTAGAAATATTTGTTGTTTAATATTTATTTTCATCTCTATTTTAACATTAACAGATGGTAATCTGAAATTGTTGTTTTTTTTTTAAGGTACTGTATAATATCTTCTTTCTGTCAATCAGTAAAATAAAAGCAACACATTTGAAAAATTCTCCTAATTATTATAAGTAATCCATAGCAATCTAATTATAAAAAAATAGAAATGTATACCAAACACAAATATTTATGGCCAGTTTACTCCCAACTGCATCACACAATTTTGATTTTAAAATACCTGAAATTCTTGATTTATTAATATCTAATTAATTATATTACATAATTAAAAAAACAGCATCCATCATGAAAATACATTTGAGCCATTGCCCAGAAAATGTATCTGCAACTTTGCTGTCTTAAAAAATGGCATAAAACTGCTTCCTGCTTACACAGCATACATAATTACCAAACAAACACTGAGTTATCAAGAGTATGTCAGAATGATTTTACCATTAGAAAATGGTTTAGAAAAAAAAAAACACTTATTTTTGAATTATAAGGAAAATAATGTTTGTGGTCATGGAAAAATGTTGTATCTGCAAGTGTTACTTAAAATGTTTTTCCACAAACATCATAGAGAAAAATTTAAAAGTAAGTAAACTTGCTTTTTCTATGAATCTTTTCTTTTTTTACCTTCATAACATACATTGAGATAAACTGCTTGAAACATTTTGATATGCTCTGGATTGAAAATTTCATAAAAGTGAGGTTTTTTGGGAAATGAGAACAGTACTAGAAAAACATTGTATCTGACTTTAGGTATTATTTATTTTATTTCAAGAGTAAAAAATACAGTATTTTACTTTAAACACAAACAGTAGCTTTTATTTTCTAAACTTTCTACAGTACTAAGAACTGCCTATAATGGTTTCTTCCTCAAATTGCAGGGCCTTGTAGAGCTCAGCATGTCCTTCTTTTAAAAATCTTATCACATTCATGATATCTCATTTCTTTGCTGCTCTTATAAGCAATAGGCCAACATATAGTAGAGACAAAGAAATATATGTTAAATTTTGAAATCTGGACAATACCTCTGCACAAAGTGCACCTCTTCCCTGCTGAGGTAAGAGTTTGTAAGTCTCCCACAATTTCCCATCATGATTCTTGCACATACTGATCACTGTAGAGTCATATGAAGATATTTGAAGCCACATAACAGAGATTATTTTCAGACCTTGATGCACATTTTTATCACAGTTCTATTTTTTCCTCCTGCAGTCATTTTACTTGGCAACATGAAATTAGATACAATGTTTTTCTATGCAATAAATATCTGAACTCACATCTTTAAAAATATGAATACAAATTTTTTTTCAAATGATACCAAAAGATATACCCTTACTTAAGGAATGCATTTTTGTATCAAACTCAATTTCATCAATTTCTTGGATGTGTTTTCTTGTGCAATAACTCAGCACAGACAACTTACAAACACCTGATGTAAACTTCCATCCAGATAAAACTAATAGTATAGCAATACAATACAATTTGAATGTTAACTATATCAACAGCAATAACCCATTCATTTCCTATTCTTTCAAAATGACAACACATTTTGTATCCTTAATAAAACCACAAAACTTAATAACTTTCTTCACTATCTCCTTCCCCATGTTTTCGTTTTCATAACTATCATATTTTGTTTCATTTGAATTATTAATATGAACTATACAGATATTTTAAATATATATTGAGCCTTTGTATAAATCAAAGAAAGCAGAAGTAAAAGATGGAAATTAAAACAATATCATCTATATTAAAAAATCTAAATACAACTTTGTAAAATTATGTAATTAGACAATCTGATTTATAAAATATTCTACAAATATTTAAAAAAAATAATTTCCAATAAAACCCTTCTGTACTAATTATAATACTGTACTATTTAACAAAAAATTGATAATAATAATAAGTGGTTTAATCACTGTTATCAAAGACCATTATATTTACAATTTATTACTAACTTTAATTCATGTTTATATTTCTACTTTGATTATTTAAATTGTCAAAACCATCTTATAGTTTAAAAATTGGTTTTATTTTCAAATAATTAAACATTTTAAAATAAATTATTTTAAATTTGAATAAAATTTTATGTAAAACATTTTCATTACATGATATGTTTATTAATTTTTTTGTGTCTAATATCACACTTAGAACATATCAAACACAATTTTAGTTTCAATGCATTTTTTAATATTTTTCTTAAAAATAAAATTCTACTGAAAACAAAATTTTCAAACCATTATTTAATCCATCTTCAAAATATAATAAATTTAAAAAAATAAAATTAAATGTTTCACATAAAAATCAAATAGGTCATGATGATCAATTGATTTGAATTTATTTCATTAATTTGTAAATTCTTAAAAATTAATTAGGAATGATATAAAAACTAATTTTAAAACTGCAAATTAATTGAAAATTTATAAATAAGTTTTATTTTTTAACTTCATAAAAATAAAAAATAGAATCTTTAAAGAATAGAAAAATAGATTGAAAAATGCTTTATTTATATTTGACTTTGTAATTGTTAAGAAAAGACAATTTAGATTATATTTTGTTAATATAATTGTTCTCAAAATCAGAGTTTAGAATTTTCCTAGTTTCAAAATATTCCATTTATTCTATTTATTTTTTATGTAAACTACAAATTATTCAATTTATAATTTTTAAAATATGTTGTAGTCAAAAACAGCTCAACAATAATCTGCAAATATTTGATGACAAATAATAGATGCATGACTTTCATTTCAAGCAAATAATATACTTTAAAAAGGCAATTTTAAATATAACACTTGCAATTCTTTTCTAACTTTGACTTTTAACATTTTTATTGTGTGTATTTTCTACATAATTATAAAGGAGTTTTAAAATAAAATAATAAAAATTATTTAATATACTGAAGTATATAGTATGTTGGTCTTGTAAAATAAACAGAACTAATAATAATAATAATAATAATCTCAAATTTGTATTTAATATTCATACTTTGTTGTTTTTTAGATTAAATTTTTAATTCATATAATTTGAATTTGTTTTCTGGAGGTCATTGACTGTTCTCTTTATAACTAACATAAACACAACAAAATTAAGAAATAATTATGTATTACATAAATTTGGCAAAATTCTCAATACTACAAACCCTAGCAGGGAAAAAAAATGCCAGAATTTATAGTAATACACATTTATTTAAATTATTTTATTCACATAAATATATATAATACTAAGCAACAAGAGACCACCTTTCTCAATTTTTTTTTATCAAATTTTTATTTCAACATAAACATTTTCAGCCTCCTTTAGTGAACTGCCTGAGATTATTGAAAGAAAAACTAAGAGAGTTTAGTTTTTTCATTCAATATTTTTATGTTCTCTTGTTGCTTAGTAGAAAAATTTCAGCTTTTGGAGGAATCTGCACTATGTATAAAACTCAAAATATAACAGAATTTGAAATATTTCTGAAATTTATCTTTTTTCAATACTGCATTTAAAAAATTTTTGCAAATAAACTGTTGATTTTCAGCTTTTACATTATGAAAATTTGTGAGAGAATTGATTATTTATGACACTATTCTACCCTCTATTTATTATAATAAATTTAAGTCAGATTCTAAAAACACTACTAAATTTTTTTCTGCTTTTCTTAACATTTTAAATCCAAATTAAATTTATCAAATGTTTAATTTGGCACAAGTAAAAATTTTGGGATTTTTAATAGTAATAATGTGTGATACTATTTAAAGCAGCCTTCAGTAAAATTTGAATTAAAAAGTGTTACCTTTTATTACTTATATCTACTGAAGGTATGTAAGCAAAAAATTCAACATAAATATTACTTGAAAATAAGAAAATATAATTTGTGTACATTGTAATTTTATCTTCCCATCTTCATCACCACTTAGATAATCAAATGTCAGTATTCTAAATTTTTTATATTTTATTTATTTCTTTTCATAGATTATATAATGTTATTGCACATCATTTTAAATTAAGGAAAACAAACTTGTTCTTATGATCACAATATTTACTGTATTATTTATATTATAATTCTTCCTAACCTAAAAAGTTTAGTTAACTTACTCTTGAAAAACAAAGAAAATAATAGTATTAAGTTAATACAAATATATCTGGTTACAGCAATAATCTACACACAACAAAATTATTAAGAAATATTTATTTTAAAAAATTTCTGAAACAACATATCAAGTAATAGTATGTATTTTTTTTTATTTTAGACAAAACTGTTGATAAATGTAATGTCTGGAGAGTCTGTTTCTGTTATTCTTCCCAACTGTCTGATTCTAGATTTATCATCTGTAATTAAAACAAAATAACTGTTAAAATTTCTACTTCTAGCTATATTATTTTTTAAGATACTGAGCAACATTACTTACATTGAACTACCCTGATTATTTCAATCTATCTTGACACTCAATTTTGTTGTTGATAGTTTCTTCATTAAGAAGATAGGCCTACTTCATCATAAGTATCATAATTTTTTCCTCACTGAATGATCAAATTTGATTATGTAAATTATCTTCATTTTCAGAAACTCAGTAAAATTGAAATCCTTTATTAAAGTGAGAAACTTTTATGAAACTAGCACTGTATTTAAAAATAGCAACTGATTTCAAATATTAAAAACAAATACATAAACTTTTAAAGTGCATCTTTTAACCAGATTGGAATCTATATTCAATCCTGATGATGGGTACTAATGTAGATGAAAATATTTGTTCATTAAAAAATGTATCCTGGATTTTAAAGATTTATGTATTTATTTTTATTTTTTCACCCAGTTACATATATTTTATTAAAATTTCATTTATGATTAATGTCAGAAAAATGTGCTTATATTAAATTAAATATAATAATGAAATCAGTGAGTAATTTGACATACCATTAAGTTAAGTGTAAATTGCTGTAATTCAGTAAATCTTTATAGAATTTGATTTAATAATAAGCAATGATTATTATTAATATTATTATTATTATTTGTGACTGGATATATTCATCATAGTTGCAAAAAACTGTAACAATTGTTATTAAAAGATAAACTTGATACTTGATATTTATTTTGTATATCCTATTCTAACTCAGACAAATTATAAAATAATACTGCATTAAATATTAAAGCAAAAGTATTTTTATGGCATTTAGAATAATTATGTATTTAAAGTCTACCTCACAGAAATACTTAACAATGCATTATTATTTTATAATTAATATTATATATTATTCTAAATTGATAGTAAACTACACCAAAAATGTTTAACAAATGTTAAGTAAAAAACTCTAAAATCATTCAGATCTAACATTCTCAAAACATTTGCACAATATAGGCAAATTAAATATGAAATAAAACAAAAGCAAAAATGCAAAACCCCATTGCAATGTATTTTAATTTAAATTAAATATTATAACTCTCCCAAATATTAATGAGAAATATACCATACCTTAAAAGTTAATGAAAATATAATATTTTAACATTTTTAAAACTATATTGATTTAAAGGAGTTTAAAGTTAGTGTTTAAATCAACAAACAATAGAATAAAATATATTTACAAATTGGAACAAATCACATTTATTCACATTTATTGACAATTTAAATGGATAATTATATGTTAAATAAACTCTTCATAAAATTGATATGTTTAAATTTATTAATATTTAAAATTTTTAAATATTGATAAATTTGATAAATAAATATTGATAAATAAAAAGAAATATTATTATTTATTTTTAGTTATATTTTAGAACAAACTATAAATAATAATAAAAAATTTAAAAATAAAATATGGCAGTAATTATTACCTTGCCCCTGAAGAATTCCCACATAATCTAATACCATCTATATCATCTCTTTCCCAATTAGCTGTAAGCAATAATAAAAAATTTCATATCAGAAAATTGAAGAATCTTTCATATATTAGATAAACATAAATTTAATTTAATTATTCAATTTCTTAAATTGTAAATAGTTCTACAAAATATATAAAAGTTTCATTTTTCTTTCAGATGAAATGAGGATGAATTGAGGATCGAAAAAGTTCAATGTATACTTTTGACGTTTATTTGCTGGAAATTTTGAATTTAGGTGTGATTTGCAAAATGAGGATGAATTTTGCAGACATTGTAAATGAAGTTCTATAATTTAAATTTGAGGCTATAATTTTCATATTTGTACATTTCAGATGTATAACTTTCAAATAATTTGTTTTTGACAAATACTGTGTAAATAAATATTATGTTATCATAAGTGATAACATTCTAAAGCCCAATTTACACAAAGCATATGCAGCCACTATCTGTTATGTAAAACTGTCACTAGGAACTAAAATGCTTCACTCTACTTTGTCTAAACAATTATGCTTCCATATAGCAGCACACATTTGTGTATGCATGACCATGTTACAGAGAATCAGAAAAATTAAATTTTTATGCCTACAAAAGTAGGAAGGACTGATCAGTTTACAGAAATATTTAAAGTGATACAACTAAAGACACAATCAATGATGTATGCATTTTAAAATATGATGGTTGCATGATCAACAAACTATTTGATGTAAACTTATCAATCAACTAGTTTATATGAAAAATATGAAAGTCTGAAATTGTAAATGTACAAATTATTATGAAAAAAATTAACAGAGGCGTTCTTATGAATATTCAGACAATTAGTAAATTACTTTAAAAATAATAAAAATGTATAAATGAAAATGATCAGTGTGATTCAATTACATTAAATATTCTTTTTTTGTTTAAAGTTAAGATTAAAGTATCTCAGAGATGAATTTTCTTGGAAGTTTGATATTTTTTACAACTTCTCACCAGATATATAAGATTTTCTCAAATGCACATGCTTGCAAGCTCTGGTGGTTACTTTCAGACAGTGGACAGATATTCAGGCAGATGTTCAAATCTGCTTGAATATGCTTAGTATAAATGGTTAAGCCACCAACAACATGGATATATGCACAACATGATGTCAGTTGCCCAATTTACACTTTATGTAAATTGGGTTTAATAGTTATACCAATATATAATATATTAAATGAAAAAATATTGTTAGAATGGTACAGCAAAAGCATCTAACTTTCTCAGTATAATACTTAATGAAGTGCCAAAATTTGAAAGAAATTCATTGATGATGAAATAGCAAAACTGTATCTTTCCCATTCCCTTAAAAGTAAAAGTTTATAGATAAAAATTTTTGAAAAGAATAATGTTCCATGGAATGACTAATACATTTCTATTTATATAGTAGTTTTTATAATAAATTATTTTTTCAATTTTATTACAAATAAGTATAAATTTTTTATTGAAATACATTACATTCAGTCTATCTTCCTTAATGAAATTTAACTCAATTGCTACTTTCTCTTGATAATATTCAAGAAATTAGAACAAGTTTGTTAAAATTTTGTAAATTTCTAGTTCTGTATAAAGCAGATAGTACAAACCAGAATGATTAGTTAGCATGCTTCAAATTTATAAAAGAGTTATAACCGGATATTGAATCTGATAAGAAAGGTCTAAAAATACTTATTTTTGTTCTGTAATAAAATTATTAATGTTGTATAATAAAACTAATTTTTAGAATCTTTTTAAGACATTTCAAAATTCAAAAAATGACCATTCACTCATTGTTTTAAACCTTGAAAGAGCCTAAAATAACCATAGTTAAATATACCAGAGTAAAAATTGTGGATTTTATTTATCTATTGTGTTTTAAACATTAAACAAAAATTCTATCATCCAAAAATAGCGATTTATATTATTACAGTAAAACCTCTAAATCTTGAATTTGAAGAGACCAAAAATATGACCAGTTTGAGTTATGGAATATTCTACATAGAGACGTATACAAAAAATAAAAACATTTTTATTCAGACACAAAGTTTAAAGCAGTAGAATAAGAGATGTAATTCTGTGATATATTTAAGATCATGATATTTATTTCAATCATTATTATAAGACTATAATAATGATTTAAATAAATATCATGAAGATAGGTATAACACAAAATTACCTCTGTATGCTACACTGAATTTATCCAAAATCAAATTTCATATAATACATTATATCAAATTTCAATAATCATACTAGATTTGGTGAGTTTTCCACTAAACTGTTAATCTACTCATGAACAAAGGGTGCATTTCCTGGTAAGATGGCTTTAACACAGCTAGATAATAACAGTCCATTTCATTTCCAGAACTTAATAGGTTGATCAGTACCTGTTGTGTTTAGACTTAAGGAGGGCCAATGTTGCAATACAAAATTTTGTTTGACTTTAAGAGTAGAAAAATGTTATATTATAAAGAGTCTGATAATCCAGTTTGGCTTAAGAAGGGATTTGAGATTAGAAGTTTTACTGTATACAGTTATACTTATAGAAAAAAACTTAATTACAATTTGTACTTTCATTCTAAAACTAAATGTAACTCCACTATAATGTAAATAATTTTTACTCATTTTAATGGAGTAATATGGAGTAGTATTTTAATGGAGTAATAAATACAAAACATTAAAAAATGTTCAAGTATTTTTGAACTTAACAATTCGTCTTCAGAAACACAAAAAAATATTCCATTAAAGTCAAACAATTGCCAAACTATATTGGGCTGTATTACTACTACAAGGCCTGTTCAAAAAAAGACTGGACTTTTGTCATACAAAATCTGTTACTGTAATTACAATATTATACATGTTCATCCTTTCCAAAGGACTCCCTCCCCTGCTTACAACACACCATTTCCATCATTTTTGCTGCTGTTGGAATGTTCCCTGGAATTTGTTTTGTGAAATGATGTGTAGCTGTCTCTGCAAATTCTGTTGAATCTCATTTACACTTTAAAAATGACATCCTTTTAGATGTGGTTTTCAATTTTGAAAACAGGAAAATGTCTGAAGAGGTCAAGTCTGGAGAGTATGGAATGGTGAAGGATGGTCACATTGTTAGCAGCTGAAAATTGGCTAACATACAGACATGTGACATGGTACATTGTCATGACGCAACACCCAGCTCTTGTTTTGCCACAGCTCAGGCCTTTTATGACACACATCTTCCCTCAAATGCCTTAAAACTTCTATGTAAAACTCCTTCTTAACAGTTTGACCTTATGGCACAAATTCGTGATGGTCTACTCCTCAATAATAATAAAAACTCAACATTGACTTCAAGTTTAACCAACTTGTGTGCTTTTTTTTGTTGAGGCAACATTTGCCTAATCCATTGTGATGATTGCACCTTAATTTCTATATCATAATCATAAACCCAAGTTTCATATCCTGTTATGATGGTTTTCATGAAATTTTTGTTGATATTGGCACAATCAAGCAACTCCTTGCTGATCGTGACATGGTTCTCTTTCTGGTTGTTGATCAACAGATGTGACATGAGTTTTGCAGAGATGTGATGCATGCCAAGTTTTTCAGTCAAAATTTTGTGGTATAACCCAATGCTGATGCCAACTTTTTCAGCAACATCTTGCACAGTCAAACAATGATTTGCATGAATCATAGAACAAACAGCATCAATGTTTTTATCATTTGTTGACATCAAAAGTCATCATAATCTTGAATCTTCCTCAACTGATGTTCTGCCCAATTTAAAACACTTAAACTACTTGTGACACTACAAACAGTTAACACAGTCCTTCTCATAGGCCTGCTGAAGCAAAGGCTCCTTAAAGTCTTTCATCTTCACTTCACAGAATGGTGACTGCATGTATTCACTTCGACAGCTCTAGATTGCCAACTGATTATAGTATATGACTCACCAAGTGGTGTTGAGTTAATGAAGTTTGTTGCTAGGTGGCACCACTTGCTGGAGCTCAATTGGTTTGCATGCTATGACAAAAGTCCAGTCTTTTTTTTTAACAGACTTCATACTATTATTAATTAAATGCTAAGTAATTTGGCATTAGAAGTAGACATTAGGTATCATCTCTTCCTAAATTTAATAATTGTAATTAAATTAATATTTTAATAATTAATTTAGAGAGTTCTGGAAGAAAAGAATCAAGCCAAAGCAGGATTCAAACCCACAACTTCTGCACACTGTATAGTTGCTTTGCCAGTTATACTACCCGGACCTTCATCCAATTCTTGCTTCCAGAACTTATTAATTTAGATATAACCATATTCAGTTACTTACAGTGCCAGCTGGAGACAACTCACTATCTATGGCCTATAATTCCCGTTATGGCACCCAGCTGGCCATTGCATCTACCTCAGTATGCTATCTTATAATTGAGATGGGTTGATGATGATGATAATAAATAATAATAAGCTCAGAACCCAAATGGTTAGGAGTTGAAAGTTGAAATTTGGTACACAGTTAGGGTAAATCATGAGAATGTACACTAAGAAAGGATTTTTTGAAATTCCCCCCTCCCACTGGGGAGAGGGAGAAGGTGAAGGATTATCCTGAAGAATTCAGCTTCTACTGTACTATTTTAGATACGGATTTTTGTGTTTTTGCAAAATATCGAACATAGTTTTAAACACATCTAAAAATTCTCTAATTAGTCTCGGAAGAGGGGGGACCTAATTCTTGCACCCAGTGAAAATGGGTAAGATTGGCTATAATCTAGTAATCTTAATCTTCTCTATTGTTACTTTTGCCTGAGCAATGCTGGGCTCTTCTGCTAGTTTATATAGATACTTACGTACATACATACATCCAAACCTGATGGTTATATATTAAAGCCAAACAATTGCCAAATTATATTGGGTTATATTACTACTACTATTATTAATTAAATACAAAGTAACTTGGCACTAGAGGCAGGCATCATGTGCCATCTCTTCCTAAATTTATTAATTAAAATTAATATTTCAATAATTAATTTAGAAGGTTCTGTACAGTTTAATATATAATTATCAAGTTTGGATGTTTATATTTGAATGTTTCATTGCTATTAAAGGGCAAGCTTAATCACTGTAGCAACAATTTTACGCTTGAAAAAACTGCTCATATAAAAATCAAGCTTGCACTTCTATATCAATGGAACATTCTTTGTATTTCTAAGGATGAATTGTTAAGCTCTAAAATGCTTGAACATTTTTTTATGTTGTGCATTTATTACTCCATTAAAGCAATACATGCTTATGTACTTTAATTTCATTCTAATTTAGAATTTTTAAATTTAAACAATAAATTAATGCTAAGCTAACAATCAAAATATTTATTAAAAACAGATTAATAAAAATCTTACTTTCGTTACTTCTAAATATTTCTATTTCTTCTGCAGTTAAATTGGCAGGTGGATTTCTAATACATTTCTGGGTAAGAACACCCATGTATATTTGCAAACCCACTAAGGCAAAGATAGACAGTGAAAAACAAGTCAGAATAATTACATCCTTCAAGTTTCGTACAGATTCTATAACCGCTCCAACTATAGTTTTTAAACCTATAATAATAAATTTTAATATTAATTTCACGTATTAATTCTTCTTGTGGAATAAATTGATTATATCTTAAAATATAAATATAACAGTTCATTTATAACTGAAATCTATTAAGTAATTTCTAGATTTAATATTATATATATAAACAATAAAAAAATTTTATTTATAATATTATAACACATCAGAAAAGGGAATATATTTTTATATAATTTATATAATGCTTTTTCTTCTATGATATAATCTTATTTTAATTTATGTACTTTTAATTCATTATTCAGTCTCATTGTAATGTATCTTACAATAAGACTGTAATGGAGATGAAATAAAATCATTAGTAAATACAGGGTGTCCTCAATATACATTGTAGTTATGTTTCTAAAAAGCACAACTTATAACAAAGTGACACACATAAGATATTGATTTTTCATTGAACTAATGTAATATGCAGGATATATATTCCAAATCAACTAAGAAATTCAATTGTATAGAAGTGTATAGACATATTCCATTGTACAAATACAGAGGATACTGTGTAATTTATTGTAATTGCCAAATAACAGTTTAAAAAATGCACTGTAAAATTTTTAAAAAATTGAAATTGAAAGTAAAATTGACACTATGAAATTATTAATAAAATGTAAAAAAATTATTTATTATTATTATTATTATTTATAATTATTTTTTTACAAATCTAATAAATAAAAGAGAAATTTTGTAAATTGTTTGTTCGTGACATCATTCTATCTATGTAAAGTCTTTGTAGAAGTGTTTATGTTCAGACTAGCAATGTTGTCTTCTCTCTCAATGTTTTTGGGAAATTTATCTTTCCTTTTATTTATGTACTTTCTTATGAACTTGTTTCATCATACTTTAAAAATAAATTCATAAAAGCCCACAACAGTAACTTTGTGATAACTCTGAAGGACATACAACCACAAACTTCTTTCAAATGATCATAAAAGTTCATTTTTTTATGATCATTTGAAAGAAGTTTGTGGGTTTTCATGAATTATTTTAGTTTCTCATAAAAACAAAATAATAATATTTGTAGATCACTAGGCATAAATATTTTGTAACTATTTACTTAGAAAAAACTCTTATTCATATTATTTTCCATCTACATTCAAACTTTGTTTAAAATACAATTATTGTCTCTTGAAATATATTATTTGAATTTGTTTTGTTGCTAATTGCTCTACTAATAATTACTTTCTTCATCATTTGAGAGAAATATTTTAACCTATCTGAATATTTCTGTCAAATACAATGAAATGAGTCTACCCAAAGATATGTAAATAAAATGAAATTTATTTTACTAAGAAAAGATTGAAAGAAAAATGACAAAATTCCTAACACTGTGGCAGAAGCATTTATTTAATGCATATAGTCACTGACTACCCCATGTATCAATGTTTAACAAAACCACATATAATTTTCAAACATATTCAATGTTTTCTTAAGATAATTTGAGCATTACTGGGTATTTTAGCTAATATCAAGTAATAACAATAATAAACATTTTGAAGGAAATATACATATATATTCTTGTTCAAATTAAGTAAATATAAATATATTAATGTATATTGAGTTTACTATCCCAATATTGTATGCAAAATGACATATATCGAGAATCCCAGTATATGAAATATAAATATTGAACAGAGAGTAGATCATGAATGATTACGTGGTATCAGTCATATTTGATTGCTATAAACTGTATATCATAATGTAAATTTAAAAAAATACAAAATTTAAATCATAATTCTAAAATAAATTATATTGAAGATATTAATATGATGCTACTAATATATTTAAATATCATATGATTATTTTTAATATTTAACTATATGCAAAATCTCATTAAAGTGAAAAAAATCTAACTTACCTGGAATTATAGCTACAGTTTTTAAGGCCCTCAGCACCCGAAATGTTCGCAATGCGCTCAGATTCCCCAAATTCACCCCCATTGTTATATAGCTATTATAAAAAAATTAATTAAAATCAAAAATTTCATACATTAAAAATAAAAAATTAAGTTATAATATAAATATACTGTATAATTTTTAATTAATAAAAAAAGAAAAACATAAGAAATAATAAAATTTAAAAATTTGTTATCAACAGAACAATATGTATGATTTATTTTTTAAATAAAACATATCGTTTTCTATATTATACCATTTTCAATTTAAAAATAATTTTTATACATATCTTTCAAAATAAAAAATTAAAATTAGAATAAACAATTATCAATATTGTTCATTCTAATTTTATTCTAATTTTAATTATCAAATTTATAATTTGATAATTGTAAGATAATTAACTTTTTTACAAAAACTGAGAATACATTACACTAAGTTACAGACAAAATATGAAATATAAAACATAAATTTAATAGATTTTAAAACATTTCCAGATATTTGAATAATTTCTGTAGAAAATAAAAATAAAATAATTTTATGTCCTTTTTTTTATATTTCTATAATATTTGAGATTCAAACTTTGTGCAAACATACAAAACTCTGATAATCAGTAAACAATGAAGGAATTAAATTTCTAAATAACTGAATGAAATAAAACTAATGAATTTAATCTGAAAAAGAGAAAGAAAGAGAACTTTGCCAAGATTAACAATCACTTCAAAATCAACAAATTTATCTAAAATGTTGAAACTGAAATAATAAGAATAATTTCTGTAGTTATGTCTTAACTTTGCCTAGCATAACACTAGGTACTTGTATATATACCATGTAGGATACATTATAATGACATTACATAATAATAATCATCTCACCAAAGGAGGATATAATCCCCAAAGGAGGGAAACAAACTCCACACTCAAAGTAGTAAGTAACCTTGTTGGGATGTTGGGGGTTCTGTGCTCCATAATTTATAGAACTAAGCTAGAGGGCTATCCAAGCCAGATAGCCCTTTAATAAGAGGCCAAACCAAATATGTCTGAAATCCAATAACCATAGTGCAAATATGCAAAACAAATTTTATATTGGATTGGTCATTGTCTCTAACACTTAACATGACCAGATTGGTCATGTTAAGTGTAAGTTTAACACTTAACATGACCAAATTGGTCATGTTAAGTGTTAGAGTAATGGGTACAGGACTTAGGACCTTAAACTGAGCAACAAGGATGAAGACTGCAAAACTACTGAAAGGGCCAACAAAATATACTAACTAAATATAAACTACTAAAAGGGCCAATCAAAAATACATAATTGCTAAGAATAGGAAAATTATGGTTTATTATTACAAATCAAACCATTCCAAACATGGATAGCTGAATGTACCAAAATTTGGAAAGAAATTCACCCAGATTTAGGTATCTGAGAATAAGATTTGAAGATCAATGAAGATTTATAGAAAGAATTAATGTTTTATTAAATTAGAGTTAAACAAAATACAATATCTATTGATCAAGATCACAAAGAAGTATTCAAAGCAAATTCAGAACAAATGATGACAAATACCCAAGCAGAAGAAACTGAAATAACAGGTGAAGATGAAGAATAAAATATAAAAGCATAGACAGAACAAGATACCAAATACTGCTCCATTACTAATGGTTTTATCTGAAGATTACCAATTGACTGAAAGATAGGAAGAACTGAAAGAGAAAATCATTACACATATGAATAAAGGACAAGATCAGAAAAGATTATCCCCATTGAAACTTGTAGTAAAAAAAGGATTTGACACAGGTCCTTAATGACTTGATCACAGCTGTTTGAAAAATTATGACACATCATTTCATGATGTGAATCAGTTCAGATGTCATGCTGTAGTAGAAATAACTATATAATTGGGATATGAAATAAATAAATCTGTAAAAAAAAACAATATAATAGTCCATTAAAGGAAAATCAAGGAAAGTCAGATGCTAGCTGAAAGACATGAAAGATAAGAAGTTAAAAATGAACAAATTCAAGAAAGACATAATAAAAAGATGCATCTTGATAACAGAAAAATCAAACAAACTCTGGAGATAGCCTAACAGAAAATTGTAGCAGTTTCAGGTAAGATTACTAGATATGAAGCAAGGATTGTACAGTTTAGACAAAATCATCTTTTCATGAAAAACCAAAAATGCTTTTATGAAAACATTAATGGAGGAATAAATAGAAATATAAGAGAATCAAATAAAGAAGACATTGTACAGTTCTGGAAAAATGTATGAGACAATCCAAAAGATTACAATAGCACACTGAATAAAGAATGTAAAAAATAATCTGAAAGGAAATAAAATGAAGGGTTTAGTAATAATAAATGAATCAGTAGAAAAATAGGTAAGAAAGATATAAAGTATTGGACAGCACCAGAAATAGATGAATTACGTGGGTTCTGAATCAAACCATTGACTAGTTTGCACAAAATAATTGACAAATAATTGAATGAAATCTTCACAGCAAACAAGTAAAGAAATAGATGACAACTGGAAAAACATACGCCTCATTCTGAAAGATCTTAAAAAGGACACACTTCCAAGCAACTATCATCTAATCACATGTTTACCAACCATCTTTAAGCTCTCAACAGGAATACTTTCAGATACTATACAAGATTATCTAAAACAAAATACCTTGCTACTGTTTGAAAAGAAAGGAAACAGATGAAGAAATAAAGAGACAAAGAATCAACTACTCATAGACAAGATAATACTCAAAAAAATTTACATATAGCCTGGATAAATTACAGGAAAGCCTTTGATTCAATGCCACATAAGTGAATACATCAATGCTTGGAAATGACTGGAATTAGTCACAGCATCAGAGAATTGGTCAAAAATACAATGCAAATTTTGAAAACACAACTGACATTGAAGAAGTAAGCCAAAATCAACATAAGCAGAGAAATATTTCAAGGGCTTTTACCTTTCTTGTTTATAATAACAATGATTCCACTATCAATAATTTTTATGAAAACTGAGCAAGGCTACCAGACTTTGTGAGCTTCAACAAAGTTGTCCCATCTTTTATACATAGATGATTTGAAACTTTTTGGAAAATCAAGTCTCTACTGTCAGGATCTTTAGTAACAACATTGCAATGGACTTTCTAAAAATCAATTTATAAGATGTGATACTCAGACTTCTTATAAACAGTCTTGTTAACTTCTACCATGAAAAAGAGTATTCCAAGCAATCATCCAAATTTCTAAGTTACCTTACAACATCAGCTGCTACTTCTGAATAAAATCAAGCAATTAATGATATTCTCTAATGTCAATTTTCACAACAGATTAGTGGAATTTTTAACTCAAATAAGCTGTATTCCTTATTTAGAGATCCTTCAGTTTCAGTATCAGTTAAAATTTATGAGGAAAAAAATTCAAGAAAAGATAAAATTTTTCATAAGGTAGTTATAAAAGTCACTGTTATCAATAAGTATGTTTCACCTTTTGTAACATTTGCAGAAAATCTATAATTTAGGTTAATAAAAGTTTTTGTTTTATATAACAATGTCCAAAATCTGATTTACAATAGACTCAAATTAAAATAAATAATTCAATAATACTTTAAGAATAAAAATATACTACTTTCATATGAATAAATTATAAATTTTTATAATCAACAGATTTAAAATGAAAATAAACTGAAACTTAACGTTATAAAATAAGTGACATACGAAATAAAAGACTTATTTTTACTCATAAAAACAGTTAAAATAGTTTTCATTCAGTTTACTTACGCTAGGGAGATAACTATGAAATCCAGCCAATTCCATGGATCTCGGAGATATGTGAATGACTCAAGGATGAAACCTCTGGCTAACATTTTAACGACGGACTCAAAAGTATATATTGCAGTGAAAATTACTCTGTAAATAAAAAAAATTAATTTAATTATAAAATGCATAATTAATAAAATATCAGAAAATAATAACTTTAAATAAATTTGAATATAACAAAGACAATGAGTATTTTTGATGACAATAAAAATATTTAAATTTATAATATAAGTAAACAGACAGCATAAATAAATTCATTTATATATTATTTATTAAGTAATCACATATTTTAATAATGGAACAATCTAAAATTTAAAAATTCTAAATTAAAATAACTAGCCAAATAATTAAAAATGGAAAAATTGCATCTGTTACTTCAGTTTTAAATTATAATAATAGCCTTTTGAAAATCAGCTCAATACTTCAATAATCAATTTGACATAATAACCACTAAAACATTTACAGTATTCAACTTATACCTTTCTATGTTATTTCTTAGTAATCTCTGATAAGGATTTAATATAAATTTTAACAGTTCAATATTCAATAATTTAAAATATACTAAAACCGATATGAATTTCAAAATATTAGTAACAAATAAGTATATTAATGCTGAAACTTGTTGGACTATGTAAGTTTCATAAATTAATTTCTAATTTATGAAACTTATTTCATAATTTATTTGTTGCAAATTATAAATTTCATACATTAGTTATGTAATTTTTCAGTTTTCAAAATGTTCTTTTTCCATGTTTGAAATGCTAGAATTTTTTCAAGCAGTTTACTAAAAATTTTTAATTTTAATTTTTCATTATTGAATATTTCCACGTAATAATACTGAAAATTGTGTATTTTTTATGCTGCTACCACATAAATATTTTAAATTTATTGCCAACTATTATAATAGACTTGACTCAGCTGGAAGAGTATGGAGCTGATTTTCCATGAGTTTATGACTTGAATCTGCCAACTGCTGATTTTATATCTTTGATAAATTGTATAAATATTTAACAATTTAAATAAATAATCTACATGAGAGTAATAGTTTCCCAATTTTTTTGAAATTCTAGACTTCTTACATACCATCATTAAAAATTTGAAATTATAAAAATTTTGCTTAGACTGTAACCATAAAAACTTTAAATATTTCTGAAGAGACGAGGTAAAAATTAACTCTAAATGTTTTAGTATAGTAAATAGTAAACTGGCTTCATTAAAAGAATTAAATTATTCAATCATTATTCATTGATTCATATGAATCTATTTTTGTATATTCTTAAAATGTATTAAAAATTAATTGAAAAAAATGAAATCATATTTACATATTACTGTTTATATTAAATAGAAAAATACATCAAAGATAAAAATTCTTTTGAAAATTTAATAGATTATGGAAAATAGAAAAATTTATAATGAAATAAAAAATAAGTATAAATATAACAAGACCAAAAATTTGATTAAAAATATTCAGACAATGCAAAACAAATATATTGAGAAAGTGTTTCAATGAAACTTTAAGCTCATAAATATATACTAGAAACAAATGGAAATATTTAGGCATAGACTAGAAGTAAAAATTTGATACCTAATGCAAAAGCTAAAATACAAAAAAAAAAAAAAAAAAAAACAAAAGTTAACAATGATAAAATAATTCAAAATTGATAAATTATAAAACAGTAGTCATCAACCTTTCTGACCTCATAGACTAATAAACTCACAATTTTGAATCCCATAAACCATTGTCATGAACTTTTTTAAACAATAGAATAATGATCATAAAAGTTCCATTTTATTTTATTTTACTGTATTAATATGAAATTAACTTGTTTAATTATAAAAAATTAGTGTGAAGTTTGCTGCTGCTTGTTTGAAATAAGTTTATGGATTGTTGGCTCTTTTCCATGAAGAGGAACAATTTCACTCACATTATTTATTGTTGATTATTTATTGATTTATTGAAATTATTATTTATTAATAAGTCATTTTGTGTTTGGGTCAAGATTCAAATAATAAACTTCAATGAGTGAGAAAAAGCAACCAAGCATTTTGCATTTCTTTTGTAATACTTCGCATAAACTTAGAGTTGATCAATGTCCAAATTTCTCCATGAACCACCAAAATGTTCTCGTAAGGTCCATGGACCACCAGTTGGTGACTGCTGTTATAAAGCAATATAATAAAAAACCATTCAGAAATCTTAGCAAAAAGATACTCCAACAAATAGTTGCTTTTGTAACATTAAAACTAATGAGACAACTAAACGATCACCTAAATAATTAGGCTATAATTCTGCTAATTTAATGATCAATACTAAGTAATTTGCTACTAGAGGTAGACGTTAGGCACCATCTCTTTTAACTAAATTAATAATTATAATAAGTTATAACTTGATTATTTAGGCAATCGTTTGGTTATGTTTCTATATATATATCGGGTTTCACAATGTTTGATATAACTATTGAAACATCTTAGAAACTATCCTAACAAAGAACTGAGCAAAACAAGCAACCTGCTCATATATAAACATATCAGTATTCAGATACTCATGAAACCTTTAAAAACAACAAAAACAATTTAGTTAAGAACATTTTCAGTCTTTAAAAATTACCAAAAACATTCATAATTAAATTGTTTTTGTTGCTTTTAAAGCACAAGTTAGCAAAAATTATTCCAGAGTAAATATTGTTTAAATTTTCATGTACTTTTCCCAATGGTATCATCTTTGATCATACATTCTATTAGACTTTGTGAGAAACTCCCCATAGATCCAATAATCCAGGATCTGTGACACACACATTCACCAACTTTTGGGCATGTATAGATCCTTTGCACCTTGTTTAGCCATAATTAGTGCAATCCTTCCAACTTTAGTGATTTCCAAGTTATAGAACCAATTCATTAATTTGTAACACCTGTATATACTGTGAGAATGTGACAATGGAAATAATTAAATTGTGATAATTATTAATTTTGAGTTTTCTGATTAAATTACATTTTTTAATCAGATAGTTTTTGCTTTCCGTGTCCCTTAATACAAAAACAGTTTCATTAAAAACTATACTATAACAGACTAACAGATTAAAATTAAAACACACAATGCTTTATGTCTGCTCCATATTTACTATAGAGATATATTTGTATTTACTATATATTTTAGAAACATTTTATGTACTAATAAACACTTTTATTTTGCTATCAGTCATTTTGTTTCAATAAATTTTTATTGTATTCCTAAAATAGATTGTTATCATCATTTCCAAATAAAATACCATAGTAAAACTAATAATCAAAATGATATACTATATTTTTTTTAATAATTACATTATGAAATAATTTTTAATGAAATGAATATCAATTTTACTTTAAATAGATCAAGCAAAATAATTTTCTACTACGAAAGAAAAGCAATTTGATAAATTAAGAAGTTATAAATGTAGCATTGTAACCATTATAATATAATATTGCTTATTTTTCTTTTCATGTTTAAAATCTAAAACATTCAAATATTGAATAACATTTAAAAAATGTACTTTTTTTAATTTTGTAAGCCTAAAATTATGCAAGAAATTTATAATTATTCAAAAATAAATATATAAGCATATTATGTAGTTTACAACACCCCTTTTATAAAAATGTCTGAAAATTTTTACATTCAAAATATTCTGTAATCATGTAATTAAAGCTCATACAATTCATTAAGAAACTTAAACTATCCAACGACAGACAGAGTGACACACCAGCTGGAATATTACTGATTATTTCATATTATATCACATCAAATAATAATGTCTCCTTAAAATCTGGACAATGCTACAGCATTCCCCATAGACAATTCATGCCATCCACACCCAGGTGACACAAGTAATATGCAAGGGCTATCTGCCTGTGGACAAGGCATGCTAACGAAGCAAATTGACCTACAAATTGCAACCATCAACATTGGCACAATGTCTGGACGAAGCCAAGAACTAGGCAAAATGCTGCAGGCCCACCACATTGATATCACCTGCATCCAAGAAACAAAACAGAGAGGAGTGAAGGCCAGAGAGATCGGTGAAGGGTACAAACTTTACTACAATGGTGAAAACAGTATTCAGAATGGCATTGGAATACTGATGGGACAGGATGTCCTGCAGCCAAAAAAAGACAAATTTTTGGAAAAAAATGGATGCTTACTTATAATCCATCAACCCTGAAGAACAATTGATATAGGAGGTGACCTCAATGGTCATGCTGGATCATAAGAGATGGATACAACCAGCACCACAGAGAAAATGGGTTTGACATTCATGATGATGGATATGTATACATATTATATGTATTGTATTAATATTTACAGTAGTTAATTATAGTGTAAATTTAATGTGATAACATTAGCAATCATATCAAATTTTTATCAATGTATTGAATAGATTCAATTTACAAAAATTATACTTTATTTAAAACATAATGTGACTTTTCTTACATATTTAAAATTTTGGTTATATATTTTACTTAAAATAACAAATATATATTTAATTCAATTAAATTACATACTGTGGTGTATCCCACCATGTATATATATGTTTTATTAATTAATCTTTTAAGTTATCTGTAATTTCTTCATCTACATAATTAACCAGCACTATTTTCCTTGTTCAACTCTCCCAACCTATGTGCATTTTCTGGCAAGTTTTGGGCTTGAAGGGTTTTTGACTTACATCATAGTGTAGGAGGACTTTTGTTGATAGAGGAGTCAGAAGAAAAAAGGTAAAGAGTAAGATGCAGGGCGACAAGGAAGGAACCTGAGGAAGACTCAGTCAACAGAGATTCAGAGTTGTGTTAAAGAACTGATACTATCAAGACATAAAGGAGGATTCATGTATGGATATTTCATCTTGTCAAAAGGTGTCCACGTAGTCAGGTTGTATCCTCTCAATTAACTGTGATAGACATTGCAAATTGTCCAACTCGCTAGACAAAGAAAAGGGATTCCCTTCTAACATAATCTTCCTATTTTCTTTCTCTAACCTAAGTAACATTAGTTTTAGTTTAATTTAAGTTAATTTTAATTAGCAATATAAGATAATTCAAACAGATTGGTTTCGGGACTCACATGTGTAATTAGATCTACAAGCATTGTTAACGA